AGATCTTCCCTGTAAATAAAGGAATGAGACCCTTGTGTGATCAGCTTTCTGAGGGACTGAGAACAGAATAGAACTTGCACTGAAAGACTTTTTTTCCCTCTTGGGAAAACAGTATTTGTGTAGGGAATGTTAATGTGAAAGGGAACATGGTTCAGTTAGATTTCACTGGATATATTGTGCCATATTCTTAGAACACCGGCTTTTTAGAAACCATCATAAAATAACCAAAACCTGTTTTTTCAGCCAAAAGGAAAAAACAGATTTTCAAAGTACTTTGTCCTTTACTTACTGCTCATAGTCCGAGAAGCGACTAGATAAAGTGGTCCCTCCCATTTTCTCCTCCTATCTGGTGGTGCCGGTGCCTCTTAAAGCCATAGCTGCTTATCTTACCTTTGATAGAATCCTGTTTTTCTCCTTAGCTTATAACAGGTAATATGACCAGCAAGGAACAAACTGGAGACTGTCCTGATAGTGCTGTATGGGGCAAGGTGTCATCCAAATTCCTCTTCAGAGAATCTCCTTTGTCCCTGATGACACTTAGGATTATGAAAGGGAAGAGTCCAGGCTGTTGTTGCTCCTGCCCTTTAATTGTGGTTAGAAATGCTGAAATTTAATTCCAGAGAAGTCAAAAAGGAAGGGACAAACTGGCAGATTTCAGGTCTTACAGAGTCACTTTTCTGATGAGACTTGCACTTTTTGCCAGCAATGTCTTGGGGAGCTGTATTGCCTTAAATTAGTTTGATTCTGACTGAGGTCAGTGTACTGTATTTCCTGTATGTGAATGACTATCAACTCTCCACTGAGATATAAAATTCACAGGTGATCCTAAAACATCCTTGCTGTCAGAAACTTTGGACTTCCTCCCACTGAGCTATGGCTGATGTATTCACTGATAGATCTATCACTTCATTGAGTTGCCTCTCAATCTGTGAATGAGCAGTGGCATGACCAAAAAGGCTGGTGGAAGGAGAGTGAGGATTTCTTGGCCAGATTCTTCAGGTTATCACTTCCTGAGTAACTGAGAGTTGACTGTCTTTTCTATAGTGACTACGTAGAAGATATTTCCAAAGGTTGTATTATGTAGTCAGGTCACTTATTATTGTTTTGTGAAAATTAAACCCAACACTCTTGTGTTTTTAATACCATTGACAAAAAAAGGGAGAAAACCAAACAAAACAGAGACATTTAGTTGAAATGAGAGAACTGTTGATGTGAAGAGTGTTTCTATTTTATTACTTTTAGGAGAAAATTAACCAGGAAAACTTTTACTATGGTAAGGAAGACACCAGAGTGTTTTTATAAAGTTGTATTTGATGCCATAGACTAACAGAATCATCTAAGCAATCATGTTGATTTGTGGAAATATCTAGTCCTGAAAACCATCTTCTTCCCTTATATATTTGTGAATACTGCCTAGGAACATATTCCTAATACATTTAATATGCTGTGGTGTGTTCTCAGCAAGCTAGAAAATATTTTTTTCTTTTTGAATAACTTCATAGCCTAGTGAGCCAGCACTGTGCTTGTTTCCACATTTCAGATAAGGACGGAATTAATTGTGCATCTTAGTTAGTGCTCCATTGTTCATTGTTGAGGTTCACATACAAAGAATAGAATTGAAAGACAGGGTTTTTGAGTGACATGTCCTTTACCAAAAAGCAAGGAATAAGAGCAGTAAAAAGACAGTTAAATATACTATTACACATTGCATACTTAGGGTATGTTTTTGTTGCACTAAATTTCAGATCATAATTGGTAAAATAGTTTCTAGCTATTAAATTTAGTGAGAGGGTTTTTGATGTCAGAATTTTTTTTTAAATTTCTGATTGAATTAGCCCTTGAAATCACCGTAGGCTATAACTTGAGCTCTTGCTATAAACCGAAAGCCAAATGCCCTTTTTTCAGAAATAACTATATTTTTCACCTGCCTCTTAAAGGCAGCCCACTATTTATTTCATGAAGTGTTATAAATAATGAGGAGATAGAGTGGGAAGATAGCATATAAAAATGGTGTTCCACAATGAGAATTCTCTGTAATGGGGCTTCCCTTAAAAAGAATCCATCCCAGCACAATATTATATTTTGAAAAGGTGCTGAATTATAAAGTACAAGAGTATGCTCATATAAATCAAGTTGCTCAGGAAATTAGAGGTGGTGCTGTCATTTGTCATATAATTTGGAAAAGTGCTTTCCTGAGGGAGATACTGCACAATGCCCAGACAGTCTCAGAGTTTTTGGTAAGCCCTTTGGCATCTGGAATGTAGATATGTTTAAAAACTGAGTGAGATCTTAACCCAAGTGCTTACCAATTTGTAGCCATGCCCAGAAGGAAAGGCAGTTTTGAAATAGCTACTTCATGGAAATGAGCAGAACCTTAATGGAAAATAGTTGTCTGAGGACAGAAAGCAAAGAGGCCACCTCAAACCACATGCCTATTTAGAGATTAAATGAAACTGTGAGGGACACTCTGTGGATGCCTTAAAGGTGACTGGTGTTGAGTACTGGGTGGGTATGTACATACCCATCTGGACTAGGCTGATGGAAACAGTCTATTTCAGTTCACCTTCATACAGCACAAGTTGCTCCTGCTCATGACCTCATTGAGGACAATGAGAAACATGGTGCTGGTGACTTTGAAGTGTCTTGGGAGGTTGAGGTGGTAATGTCATTCAGCACTCTCCAGTGCTCAGGCCTCCCTTAAATGCCAGTTGTACATCTACATTAATTCATCTATGCAAGCTTGTGTTTTTATGGTTTATTTTCTATACTTCTGTCCCATTTGATTCTTTAAATATCAGGTTTAACATTAATATTATGAATAATTTTTAAACCAAAGTATGTATATGTCTGTGTGCTTGTTTTCCTGGATGTTTGAGGCAAACACCAATCTTGTCCTCCTCTCAATAAAATCATCCATTTGTTAAGTCAATAGTCTCATGTTTTCTTTACTGCAATCAAGGACTTGGGAAGTTTTGGGGTAAGGAGTATTATTTTTTTTTTCTTTACGAAGTAACCCTAATATATCTTTGTTTAAGAACAGGGTCTTCCGTTATTCCAGTTCCATCCACTGTAGCCCTGAATAGCACTGATGATGATATCCAGTACATCAAAACTGTCAACAAATGCCCCCAAGTCTCATACTGATACGTAGTACATTGAAGGCCTCAACAAATACTCCCACATCTAAATTTGGTTAGAGAAGTGGCTTTGTTCTGTGTGTGGTGGTTGGTGGCTTAGTTTGATGTCTCTGGGAGAAAAACAGGTAAGTGGGTGTTCACATAATAATCTGAATGCTGCAAGAGTCCATGAATGCAACAGTTCTTGTCTGCACTATACCTGGTATTCCATGGATTTTGAGAAAACAGATTTAGTAACAACTACCATTTAACATTTTATCTTTATAAGGTTTGTTTCTTCTTTGGTTTGATAGAGTAAACCATGCCATGGAATATACATGCCATGGAAACCGATGCTGCAGAAATTAGGAGGTAACTTAAAAATAAGATACTATTTTTCATGACTACTAAAGGATTTGTAAAGAGGTATCTAGCTTCCCTGAAATGCATTCCCTAGGCCTTAGTTTCTTCTTTGGCAAATACAGGAAATCTACATGCCCTCTGTAATATATCTGTGCTGCATATCACTACCATATGCATAAGGAACACCAGTGATGTGCAGGTGTTGTTAAAGAAAGTTGGTTGATTTCAGCCTTCCTTTTCTGAAGAATTAATCAAAGTTGACAGTGAAAAAAGTTGACATATCTAGAGGCCAATTAAAAAAAATTAAATATGTGATTAAAGTAGCCCCCTTTAATTTGTGGTAGGAGGTACCTGGTATGATTGGGTGGATTTTGTGTACTGTGGCTGAGTGAGTGTTAAGCTGTGGCCATGTAGTGTGGTAGGGTGCAGCACACTACAAAGTCCTTTAAAGGCAGCCAGGAGAACGTTCACCTCCTACACCTTGGAAATTGGGTGAAACCTTTAAGAAAGCTTTGGATTACTACAAGTCACAGGGCAGGGGCAGGGGTTTGAAAACTTTATTAGCTCCCCATTATATTTGGGTTACGTGCTTAAACAAAACCTCCAACATAGTGTACAATAAATCAACAGGAAAAAGAGACCTGGGTGCTAGTCCTGGCTTTGAACTTGCTTCAGGGCCTTGGGTCACCACGTAGTCTCTGTAACTCTGTTCTGTTACATACACTAATCACATTACAATGAGAGTTGGTGATCTCTAATTGCTCCTTTGGGTCTAGCATTCTGGAATTCCTGCTGTCAGTGGCTGCTAGGTTCCTTTAAGATGCCCCAGAAAACGAGTAGCCTCATAGTACTGGGGGCCTGGAAAGTCACAAAGACTTCTAGACACTCAGCTGAAAGGTCTTATTCCTGATCATGTGTTCTTTTTAAATTTTTTTGTTTATTTTTGACAAAATTTGTACTGTGAACAATGTGATGTTTTGATATGTATACCTTGTGAAATGATTACCACAATGAAACTAACACAGCTGTCATCTCCCACAGTTAGCTTTTGTATGTGTGTGTGTGTGTGTGTGTGTGTGTGTGTGTGAGAGAGAGAGAGAGAATGCTTGAGAATGTTCAGTAAATTGCAAATATACAGTATATTATTATTAATCATAGTCATCATGCTGTATATTAGATCCCCAAAACTTGCAATTGAAAGTTTATGCCCTTTTGCTGATCATGTGTTCTTGGTTGTACTCTCCTACTGCTAACCAAAATCTGTCTATCTCTATTTTTATTACTCCCAAGCTTCATGAGCCTCCTTTACCAAATAGTCTTTGGATGTTCTTGTAAGCTTTTGTACATCCCATTGTCATAACTTGCTTTTCATACTCTCAAAACACACTTTTGTTACCAATTCCTGAACTTAACTACACAGATTTGGTTTTGGTCATGTTAATCATGACATACCCTTAATTACACCTGCCACACTTAATTATCTGGTGTCATTACTGACCTAATCTGGGCCCTCATGAGCAGTGCAGTCACTGCCTGCCTGACCTCGGGAAGCCTCTTCAACTCACCTGCCAACCTCTGCCCTCATACCCTTCACCCGGCCTTGGGCTCTCACACAGAACTAGAGGCATGTGTTTGTATGTGAGTATGTGTGTCTGCAGGTATAGCTGGCAGTAGCTCTAAACAGTGTATGTATAAATGACAATGAACTTCTCTGGTCTGGAGAGGTGAGTACCAAGTGGTGTATATAAATTTTTCCTTTTATGGATCATGCTTTGGGGTCATGTCTTTACAACTCTTTGTCTCATCCTCAAGATTTTCTGATTATGTGTGTGTGTGTGTGTGTGTGTATGTATGCATATGTATGTATATTTCTGTTTCATAGTTTTAAGTTTTACATTAGAGTCCTTTACTCATTTTTGAGTTAGTTTTTTTTAAATGTTTTATTTATATTTTGAGATACAGTGCACAAGTGGGGAAAGGGCAGAGAAAGAGGGGGGCAGAGGATCCAAAGAGGGTTCTGTGTTGACAGGCTGACAACAGCGAGCGTGATGTGGGGCTCGAACTCACGAGCCAGATCATAACCAGTGCTAGATTCGGATGCTCAACCAACTTGAGTCACCCAGGTGACCCTTTAGTTACTTTTTACATAAAGTGTGAAGTTTAGGTTAAGGTTTATTACTTATTTTTGTGTAGATATCCAACTGCTCCAGCACCGTTTGCTGGAGGCCATCTATCCTCCATTGAGTTGGCTTTTACAATTTTTTCAATAATCAGTTGAGTATATTTTGTGTATGTCTATTTTGGAGTTCTCTATTCTGTTCGTTGATCTGTGCCCCTCCCTTTGCTAGTATTCCAAGTGTTGATAACTGTAGCTACACAGTAAGCCTTGAAATTGGGTAGACTGATTTTTTGCACCCTATTTTTCCAAATTCTTTTAGCTATTCTAGTTCTTTTGCCTTAGCATATAAATTTTAGAATAGTCTTGTTTATATCTATGAGAAATATTGCTGGGATTTTGAAAGGAATTGCATGAAACTTCTGGGGAGAAATGACATCTTTACTGTGTTGAGTCTTTCAAAAAAAGACTACAAGTATGTCTCTCCAGTTATTTAAATCTTTGATTTCTTTAACTAGAATTTCACCATATGTGCTGTGTGTATGTTTTGTTAGATTTACTCCAAAGTATTTATTTTTGTGCAATTATTGATATTTTTGTTTCTACATATTCCTTGCTAGTATATGGAAATACATTGATTTGTATAATCCTTTTCGTATATTGATGAATTGCTAATATTTTTAAAGGAGTTTTGCATTTATTGTGAGGAATATTGATCTGTAACTATACTGTCTTTGATCGGATTTTATATTAGTGCATTGCTAAACATACAGGTTTTTTTCTTTTCTGTTTTCTCAATAAGATTGTATAGAATTGCTACTCTTTTTAATAAAAGTTTTATAAAAAATTCTCCAGTAGAAAAAACCATGTGTGCCTGGATGTATCCTTTTTGAGAGGCAATTTTAAATTAAAAATTCAGTTCCATTAATAGTTACAGGCCTATTCAAATTATGCATTTCCTATTGAGTTAGTGTTTTTTAAGGAATTGGCCATTTTATCCAAGATACTGAAATTCATGTGTGTAGAATTTTTGATGTATTCCCTTGTCTCATTGATGACTGCTGGGTTTGTAGCTCTATTTCATTCCTAAAAAAAAGTATTCCTAAGTAAAACATTTAGTGATATAAATTCTATTTTGTTAAATTGCGTTGTTTTAGCTCTGCCACAAATTATTATATGTTGTGTTTTCACTTTGTTTTGTTCAATGTATTTTAAAAAAATCTCCCTGGAGACTTGTTCCTTGATGCATGCATTATTTAGAAATGTTATGTCTGATTTTTGTCCATGTTTTTGGAGATTTTCCTTGTATATTTGTTTCATTTCTAGTTTGGTTCTCTTGTGGTTAGAGGACACACAGTGCGTGATTTCATTTCTGTTAAATTTGTTGAGGTTTGTCTTAGGTCCCTGGATATTTTCTGAGTATATGTTCCATGAAAAGAATGTGTATTTTGATTTTGAGTGGAGACTTCTATAAATGTTGATTAGATCCTGTTGGTTAATGGTGTTAAGTTCTACATCTAGACTGATTTTCTGTCTAGTTGTTTTACCATTTGTCAAAAGAGGGGTGTAATGTCTCCCAACTATTATTGTAATTTGTTTTTCATTTCAGTTCTATTAATATTGTTGCTTCATGTGTTTTGTGGTCTTGTTTGATGCATACACATTTAGGATTGCTGTGTCTTCTTCATGGAGTGACCATTTTATCATTATATAATGCCCCTCTCTGTCTCTGGTAATTTTTTTTGCTTTGAAATATACTTTCTCTGATGTTGATATAGCCACTTGTGCCTCTTTGATAAATGTTTACACAATATGTCTTTTTTAGGTTTTTTAAATTTCAGCCTACCTATTCCATTACATTTGAAGTGAATCTCCTGTAGAAAGTATATAGTTGGATATTTTTAAATTCATTCTGCCATATCTATCTTCTAATTGGTGTATTTAGGTCAATTAAGACAGAGGCTTGGTGGTGGGGGGGCAGATTTTTTTTTTTTTTTTTTTTTTTTTTTTTTGCTGGTGTATAGAAACAGTTGATTTTCATGTGTTGATCTGCAATTTTTCTGACTTCATTTTTCAACTCTAGTAGTTGTCTTGTGGATTCTCTGGGATTTTTGATACATAGGATCATGTCATAAGAAAACAAAGATAGTTTTACTTTGTTCCAACTTAGGTTCTTTTTATTTCTTTTCATGTCTAATTGCTCTGGCTAGAACTAATAGCACAATGTTGAATGACAGCAGTGAAAGTGGGAATTCTTGTTTTATTTTTATCTTAGGTGAAAAGCTTTCAGTCTTATACCATTGAGTATATGTTTGCTATTGGATTTTTATAAATACCTTTTATCCTGTCATGGAAATTCTTTTATATTCCTACAGTTTTTAGTGTTTATCATAAAAGGGTATTGGACTTTGTCAGATACCTTTTCTTTGTCAGTTGAGATGATTGTATGCGGGTGTAGGTGGGTATCTGCTTATATGTGTTTCCTTTATTAATGTGGCATATAACACTGATTGATTTTCTTAAGTTGAACTATCCTTACATTCCTGGGATAAGTTCCATTTGGTTATGGTACAATCCTTATAACATGCTGCTAGGTTCTTTTTTCTTTTTTTCTTTTTTTTTGGGGGGGGGTCTTTTTTCTAGCATTTTGTTGATTGATGACTTTTACATCTATATTCATAAGGAATATTGGTCTGTAATTTTATTTTCTTGTGATATCTTTATCTAGCTTTGGTATCAGAGTAAACTGGCTTCATATAAGGAGTTAGAAATTGTTACCTCCTGTTTTGTTTTTTGGAAAAGTTGAGAACAATTAGTGTTCATTCTTTAAATATTTGGTAGAATTTAATAGTGATGCCATCTGGTCCTGGGCTTTTCTTTTTGGGGAGTCTATTTACTGATTCAGTCTTTACTTATAGGTCTGTTGAGATGATCAATTTCTTCTTGATTAGGTAATTTGTGTGTTTCCAAGAATTTGTTCTTTTCATTTAGGCTACCTAATTTTTTCATGTAGTTCATGATATTCTATAATGCTCCTTTTTATTTCTATAAGGTTGGTAGTAATGTTCACACTCATTTTAATGTTTTTATTTATTTTTGAGAGAGAGACAGAGTGTGAGCAAGGGAGGGACAGAGAGAGAGGGAGACACAGAATTCAAAACAGGCTTCAGGTTCTGAGCTGTCAGCACAGAGCCTGATGTGGGGCTTGAACTGGTGAACCTCAAGATCATGACCTGGGCTGAAGTCGGACGCTCAACCGACTGAGCCACCTAGGCACCCCTCCACACTTTTATTTCTGATTTTAGTTATTTGCTTCTTTTCTTTATTTCTTTGCCAGTCTTTTGTCAATTTTGTTGATCTTTTCCAAAAACCAATTTTGGTTTTGTTGATTCTATTGTCTTTCTATTCTCTGGTTCATTTATCATCATTCTAATCTTTATTATTTTATTTTCTTCTTTCTAATAATTTTCAGTGTAGTGTCTTCTTTTTTTCTAGCTCCATAAGATGTAAAGTTAGGTTATTGATTTGAGATCTTTTTAATAGTGCAAGTACAGTTAGGAATTTCCCTCTGAGTATCACCTTTGTTGCATATCATAAGTTTTGATATGTTGTGTTTTTGCTGTTTTTTTCTTTTCTAAGTATATTCTAATTTCTTTTTTGATTTTTGTTTTTTGACCTATTGATTATTGGTTATCTAAAAATGTGTTTGTTTTCACATATTTGTAAACATTTTCACTTCTCTTGATTTTCAGCTTTATTACATTGTGATCAGAGAAAATACTTTGTATGATTTCAATCTTTTAAAATTTATTTTGACTGTGATGGTCTAACATATAGTCTCTTGGACAACATTCCATATATATTTGAGAAGAACATGTATTTGGTTGTTGTTGGATTGAGTACTCTATATGTTTGTTAGGTCTGATTGGTTTACAGCATTGTGCAAGTGTACTATTTCCTTTTTGATCTCCCATCTAGGTGTTGTATTCATCATTAAAAGTGGTGAATTTAAGTTTCCCAACTACAATTATACAACTGCTTCTCTTTCAATTCTCTTAATGTTTCTGTATTTATTCTGAGGCGCTGTTTGGTGCACGTGTTTATAACTGTAATGTTTTCTTGATGAAATTGACCCTCTTATATAATGTCCTTTTTGTCTCTTGTAACAGTTTTGACTTAAAGTATTTTTTTTCTGGTATTAGTGTAGCCACTCAGCTCACTTTTCCCCACACTTTCACTTTTACCTATTTATGCCATTATATTTGCATCGAGTTTCCTGTAGATAGCATATAGTTTCTTTGTTTGTCTTATGAAAACTGGACATTTGAATTTTATAACATGATAGCCCTGGGTATCAAGTTCTTCCTTTTCCCCAGGGTTTTTGTTTTTATTCTTCATTTTGATTGGTGAAGGTTGCAGTAGTTAATTTGTCTAGTGACTTTTCCAAATTGTTTTTTTTTTTTTTTAGAGATTGTATTCCTTTCATTTGTGATCTCTACAGTGTCTGTTTCTTAGCTT